CTCCTACAGATTCTTATTCGCCTCCCCGACCCTAGATTCGCCTGCCGCTGTAAATCTGTCTGCAAGCGCTGGAGCTCCCTCATCTCCAGTCTCTGCTTCAATCGGCGTTTCGTTTATCATCACCAGAGCATTAACCAACTTCCTATGCCGGAGGATCCAAACGAGCTGCAATCGACCATCTGGAGCTTCCTCCAACGCATACCCCTCAGACACGTTCGAGTCCCTCCCATGCCTCCTTTTAGGTACGTTCGAGACGCCCCTTTAAGAGTTCTGGATTGCTTCAGAGACTTGCTTTTGTGCGGATTTTGGGATATATATGGCGACAATAACGAATTGGGGAGATCGTACTTGGTCTGCAATCTGTTCACGAAGCAATGGGTTGCCCTTCCTTTAGCGCCCGAAAAGCCTGTTGGGTATAGAGAAGACGTTGGGAGGTTAGTTTGTGAACCCTGTGATCCTAAGAAATTTGATCTAGGAGATGACAAAGGGTTTGTTTATTCTTCTGAGTATCGGTTCAAGGTGGTGTGTATTTACCAACATATGCAGTCTACAAAACTAGACGTGTTTTGTTCAGAGTCTGGGAAATGGACTCAGGAGGCCCTTGTTCTTAGTGGTTATCTCAGAGGCGGAAACAAAAGTGTGGTTTCTTGCAATGGGGAGTTGTTCTGGTCGCATCATAAAATCAAAGAGTTGGAAGTTGGTCGGATTAATCGTTTGGTGGCTGCCTTCAATCCTTTCTGTCGTGATATACGCCCCACTGCTATTGATGTTTCTGCTTTTGCTGCGAAACCTTGGTGGGTGATTTCGCTCTCACAAGGCGCGTTGCACGTTATTGCATTTGAAGACAAAGCAGTACCTGTTCGACGTTTAAGCGTTTGGAGACTAGAAGTAGACAGGAAATCTTGGAGGAAACTATGTGAGGGGTTGCTGAACAAAAAGACATCAAGGTGTGGCAACTATGAAGTTGAGAGCTGTTCTCATCAACTGTGTCTGCATCCATACAAGCCGGAAGTTGTCTTATTCAATTGGCGTGCTGGTGATAAAACAAATGCTATATTGTCCTGGGATTTGCAAAGAGAAGAGGTGGAGTTATTTGCTAAACTAGAAGGGGGCCCTGCTGTCTCTCGTTTTATGGTGTTCCAGCCTCGTGTCCATTGCTGGCCTACTCCAATTCCAAGGTATGAGGAGTTGCGAGGCATGTACGACGGGACCTATAACTTCTGCGCTCAGAGCGCCAACAAAGCAGCAGTCACTCCCTCTCTCCTTCCCTCAATAATGCGCTAGTTATATCTTTGCAAAGTTAAAAGAGATGCTCATGCACTATCTCTAGGTTATGCCCGACATAAGCTAGATGTTGAAACTGTTCTTCGAATGGTTGTTATCTATCGGAAGATTATGATGGAAAGCATGAGTACTAGAGTTACTTTTTCTGTGCTACTGCCGGCTCCATGGTTTTAGGTGCTAGCATTTGTTTATTTATCTAAGTTTGTTTTTGTTTGTGAAGCTAATCTATTTGCTGAGGTGAAACTGATTTTTAAAATGTTAGGAGTATGAAATGGTTGGTTTATTGTATTATGGAAGTGATAGAAAGGTTTGAGGATCTCACTTCTTGATTGGGGTAATTTTCCCCCGGGCAAATTGTCTTGAGGTGTCTTCAAAGATGTTATGTCAGCCATCATCGAGGTGTCTTCAAAGATGTTATGTCAGCCATCATCGTTGTAGCCTGTCCATGGGTGGTGTCTCAATGTCTACCCATTCTCGTCTCAGTCAAAAGATATCCAAGAGTGAGGAAGGTCAGTTTGTTATGGGCAGTTGCACTTACAGTGGTCTACCCTCCATACATTTGAAACATGGAAGATGTCTCTGTTATCAACTTGATATTGTTCTTAAGCTTATTTTTTTTATTGTTGCACACCAGAAACTATGGACGGCTCTGCCTTGTCTGCAGCTACTGATGCTGCCAATCAAATCTTTCAGCCTGAAGTGTAAGACATGCAATATGGTTGGCAACAAGAGAATGAAAATCCCGATGTCAGCAACATGAATGGCTGGTTAGTGACTTGCTCTTGCTGTGTGTTTGAGAGTGTTCCTTAGGAAACTTATCGCATATTAGTATGCTTTTTCAATATATGTAGTTGTTCTTTTCTTTCATCTTTTTCTTAACCTATTAGATACATTCTTTTCTATGTGGAGTGTGGAGACTTGTTTAGGGTAAGAATGCTGTAGTTCTTAGATGCTGGTTGCAACTTGAGGTAGTTTCATTTGATTAGTTATTTTCTTTCTTGTTTGTATCACATGGCAACTTTGAGGTCTGTGCCTGCTCTTTAGTATCTGAATTCGTATTGCTCAACTACATTGCTAAATAGACATAGTTTCACGAGTAAGGTATTGCATGTTACTAGCTAACATGCACTTGAATTCAATCCATGCGGAGGCTGTGTATGGTTTCAGCTGATTCTTCTATTAATTTCTTCCTCACATCACTGAGTTCTTTGTAGTCACGGTAGCAATGCTGAACATGCTCATCATGACGCCCTTGTTACTTCTCAATCAAGATCATCTTTGGAGAATGTTTAACCCATGTCAAGCTCTTCTCCAAGTGATGCTACTTCCCTTTAGCTCCATTAGTTGGCAAGGCTAAGGTTTTTTGTTCTGGATGTGCAGCTAAGACGTGTGTAAATAATGTTAATATGCCCAGAGAGATTGACTTTGCTAGTGTAAGTCATTAGTGTTCTCTTGCAAGTATCCGCAACTTTGGAAGTGCTGCTGTATTAACATTTGTGCTCATGGTTTTTTATGCAGAAAAATAGAGACGGAGATATAAGGAGCACAGGTCGATCCTCGAAGAAGTAATCCAGGCTTTTGATATGAATAGAGGTTTCGGTGTACGATTTGTAGGTTGGCGTCACAATAGGGTAGTTTATTTGGTAGTTAGGAAGACCATTTCTTTGTACCCGACTGCGAGTCGTTTATTTGATTTTCAGGTCTGACTAATTTTCAGGATGTAATGATCTATTTGTTCAATCAATATATATATGATTATTTTTTTAAAAGAAAAAAATATATATATAAGGAGCACAGGTCTATGATGGTCGTGAATTACTATTCACTGCTAAACAGGAAATGCATATTACATTACAAACAGATGAAAAAGGGTCTTCCTTTTTTGTTTTAGGTCTTCCTTTTTTTCCCCGACCCGTTGGGTTTTGTTAGAACTCTTTTTTTTTTTTTATAAAAGCTCACCATTATAAAGAAAAAAAAAAAACAGATAGAAAAAGTACTTTTAGTAGGGTTTCTCTTTGTATATTTTTGTTGTTTTGGCTGCGGGCTTTCCCATTCCGTATATTTATAAAAGCCAAATTCATGATCAATGGTCACTAGTTATACATAATTCAGTCTTAAAATGGAACATCATTCTCCTAAGGCAAATTCAATTAATGGGGTGGGATAACAGCACAACCCCTTAGAAGGTTGTGAAAATCACAACCCACTCTGTAGCCATTGGATACGTTCTCTCTCATGTCTCTTTCTTCTCTTTTTCAACTTAATGATTAAGATTAAACAAAGGGTATTTTTGGAAGGAAAAAAACTTACCACACTAAATCGTTCTCTCTTCCATATAAATAAAAAAAACCTAACTCCTCCCTCTCTATTGCAGACGGCACTGCCGCAGCTCTCCACCGCCGCCGTCCTCCGCCTCCCTCCATCCCTATCGTGCCCTCCACCGCAGTCGTCCCGCAACCCTCTGCCTCCCTCCACCCCCGCCGAGCCCTCCACCACCATCACCACCGCATCTGCAATCCTCTACCTCCCTCCACCCCCCTACTGTTGGCAGCTCTCTCTTGCCGCCCTCTTCTGCCGCCGCCCTCATCCACTGATGCCATCGTCGCCTCCTCTACTCGTCTTTTCGGTGTGCGTCCCTCTGCCACTACTCTTCCTCTCCTTCCCTTTTCTAGGGTTAATGATTTTCATCTGGTACCAGATGGAGTGATACGCTACCACTCGAAAAATCACTACCACTAGACTAATGGACTGATACATTTTTTAACGCACTGATACATTTTTGCACCTTGTCGGAAGGAACATCGCGGCCGAAGCGAAGTAGCTGCTGGAAAAGGAAGAGAGAGATAGAGAGTTATACTAGGATTTAAATTTCAGAAAATCCATATTAAATTATTAATTAAAAAAAAAATTAATATATTCTTTTTTGTCATAGACAAATGAATGTGAATCTCACAAGGCATTAGACTATTAGAGGAAGTCAGCGTATCCCACGCCATTGAATCAGATCCAAATCTTGACTATTATCCTTATCAAGCAGCCGGAAGAATCATACTGCCCTTCTAATCCTAATGCTCTTCTTCTTTACTTCCCGATTCCCGCCACCGCCTTGTACGACCGTTGCCTCAGAGCTCGCACTCTCTGCCGCCGTCGGCTTGGAATGCCCTGTCACGACAACCCTCCTCCACGCACCGTCGCTTTCTCGGACCAATTCTTCGACCGACTTCGACGCCAGGCCTGATCTCTCTAGGATATCAACCCGCCGCCAAACGCCGCTGTCATTGCTAGTTTCGAACACCGCGGGTTGTCTCGGAGCTGAGTTGACTTCCTCTTCCTCGCCTACGTTCCCGCCATGGGACTCAGCCGCCGCAGACGGCGCTGTGGTGATGTCTGAAGTGAGAGTGGAGGAGGAAAGCATGTCGTCGGCGTTCGCAATCGCCGATTGAGAAGAATATTAACGGAAGAGACTGAATTATTTAGCTCAAAATTAGGTGTCTCTGTTCTTATATATTGAGGAAGAAAGAGGATTCCTTTCCGGTGAAGGAATCCGTTTCGGGCTCGGATATGGGCCTGTAGTAGAGCGTGGGCCGAGAGCAAGTCGAGGGCTCGAGGCGATTATGTGGGCCTTAGGTTAGGTCCATTTCTTGAGAATGGGTCACGTGTCAATTGTGGTGGGGATAGGATAAGAAAGAAACGAGGAAGAGGGAAATGGAAGAAAACAGGGGAAACCGGGGAAAATGGCGGGAGCGTTGTTTGGGAGCTTCGCCATAACCGCCTGTGCGAAAGATGGCGGCAGTAGTAGTAAGGAGGATGATAAATTGAAGGGGTCGAAGGTCTTGGTTCTGGGCGGGGCGGGTCGAGTCGGGGGTTCGACCGCCGTTGCTCTTTCCAAGCTCTCCCCTAATCTTTCTATCGCCGTCGGCGATCGGAACAGGTCAGCAACCGGGGGGGAATCAAGTTCGATTGTTCATTACCCATTAAGCGTACACCCTATTGCTATAGTGGGTATCAAGGGTTACGAGGGTTGATTATTAACTTGAAGAAAAAGATTGCTTCTTTAATTTAGTGGCGGAGTGATTTGAAAACTGAGCTGATAATTTTGTTGGAAATGGGGGGACAGGGAAAAGGGTGCAGCGATGGTGGCTACTCTGGGGAGGAATTCTTCTTTAGTGGAGGTGGATTTTGAAAATGTGGAGTCACTGGAAGCAGCTTTGGATGGTGAACGGCCTTGAATTTCTGTTCTTTTTCTTAGGGTAATTTCTGGTTAGGGATATTTGAATTTTGTTGCTGTGGCTGCTGCAGGAGCGGATCTTGTAGTTCATACTGCTGGACCTTTTCAGCAGACTGACAAATGCGCTGTGCTTGAAGCTGCTATAGAGACCAAGGTGAGCTGAGGTAATTCTATACTTCTTTGTCCTTCGTCTTTTCAGTCATATTCCTCACACTGTCTACCAGCATTTTGCTTTAACATAAATAACATCATGTTCTTTGATCATGTGTGCTCATGACAGACAGCATATGTGGATGTTTGTGATGACACAAATTTTGCGTTGCGAGCAAAGTCATTCAAGGATAAGGCCGTAGCTGCAGGGATTCCTGCAATAACAGCTGGTGGAATCTATCCAGGAGTGAGCAATTGTGAGATAGATTCTTGCCCTTTCGATGTCCTAAAATAGAAGAATCTGTAGGTTCTTATGTTGTGGATTGTGGTGTCATGATAGTGATGGCGGCAGAGCTAGTTCGAGTCGCAACAAGTGAGAGTGAGAGAGAGCCTAAGAGCCTCAGGTAATCTGCTTAGATCATATTCATCATGAATGAGAATTCAAGCAAATTTGACATCTTTGCTTTCAAAATTTACAGGCAATTTATGCTTTCAGTATGTTCTTCTCTAGGTTTTACTACTATACAGCGGGCAGCGGTGGAGCTGGCCCGACTGTTTTGGCCACTAGCTTCTTACTTTTAGGTGAAGATGTTGTTGCTTATAATAAAGGTAAGATTTAAGATTCCATGTGATTTTCCCCCCGAAGTAGGGTAGAGAGTCGTTTCTGTGCTACTGCAACAAGGTGTAATCAATCGTATGATCTTATACTTGATCAGGAGAAAAGGTCAAGTTAAAGCCGTTTAGTGGGATGGTCAACGTTGATTTCGGGAAGGGGATTGGAAGCAGAGATGTTTACCTGCTGTAAGTAAGTTCGGTATGAAAGAAAATTGCTCCCAGAGAGTAGCAAAAGCTTTCATTGTGTAGTTTGTAGTTTGCTCTGATCAGAAAAGCAAACATTACTGAATATATTTGATTTATTTGTTAATGGTATATACGAAAGAAGCTTTAAGTCTTGCCCAAATTTGGCATAGACATCACATAACGGAAGTTCGAGCCTTTTACTGTTTTGGGCAACTAATCTATCTGCGGATATTTTCTATTATAACTATGCAAAGCTAGTCCGGCTGCATACTTATGAAGCCTTACACATGCAGGAATTTACCTGAGGTACATAGTGCTCATGAGATCTTGAGAATACCAACAGTCAGTGCTCGATTTGGAACCGCTCCTTTCTTCTGGAACTGGGGCATGGAAGTCATGGCAAATCTTCTTCCTCAGGTACCTTTCTAAAAACAGTTTGCTTATTTGACGATATAGTTCCTACGAGGCTCTTATTTGGTGATCAAATGGGTAGATAGAGATTCCGACAAGGTCCAAAGTTTTTAGTATCTAGAGAAATATACCAACTATTGAAAATTCTCATGTTTATTCATATACAGAAGCAGAGAACATGGGTCTCTAAATAAGTCAATCTCAGCTGCTTGCAAGAGCCATTAATGTTGCTTGATAACATTGGAGATTGTTTGAGCTTTTCTTTTGCAGGAATTCCTGAAAGACAGAAGCAAAGTGGGTGCAATGGTACAGTTGTTTGATCCTCTTGTGCGAGCAGTAGATGGTTTTGCCGGAGAACGTGTTGCAATGAGGGTGAGAACACTTAGAAGACAGACACCTTGAATCTAACTAATGAACTATTAGTAGTGTTATTACATGGTGCTTTCCATAACTGAAGTTGAACTAATGCCTCGAAATCTGTTTATCTAATGTGATTGGGAAACAGATTGACCTGAAGTGTACAGACGGGCGAGATACTGTTGGCTTGTTTAGTCACAAGAGCCTCTCACAGTAAGTCCTATCTCTGAACACCTCTGCTTGACCTAATCCTTATATTGTATGGTATTAGAGCTTGTGAAACTATGAAGCTGACATTGTGAAAAAACCAGATGCGTTGGTACTGCAACTGCTGCTTTCGCCTTAGCAGTCCTCGAGGGAAGCACACAGCCTGGAGTTTGGTTCCCAGAAGAGGTAATTAACAACCATTGATTAGCCCTATACGATTAGCAGAATCTTATGCTATCTTTCGTATCAATGTGTCTTAAGGAACCAAACTAATGATTATTCGTGGTGCAGCCCGAAGGAATTGCAGTGGAGGCAAGGCAGATTCTGCTGGAACGAGCCTCTCAAGGCACCATTAATTTCGTGATGAACAAGTAAGTACATCGATCGCTTTTTATCGATATGGAAAAACTAAACCATCCGTCTATTTTACGTACTAATTCTCGCGTGATTAACTATGCGAACTAAATCACTTGGCATGCATGCAATTAGACATGGCAAAAAAAGAACTGCGGTTTTAGATTATGCCCCTATTTGCTAATCAACTAATTAGATCATGTTCTCCTGTTTCTTCTGTGCTTTCCTGATTTCGCGATGAAGGCCGCCATGGATGGTGGAAACTAAGCCTAAAGAGCTCGGATTGGGAATCTACGTGTGAACATAGTGATAAAGAGCTGTTCCTATATATGTCGAGCAAAATTTTTGTAATGTTAATTAAGAATTTTCCCATTTATAATTAAGTAAAGTTGGTAAACTAATGAGTGATTTTCCTAATCCTCCATGGAAGCGGATAGACACAATTAATGTTCCTTCACCAGTCCGAATAAGGAAAGGTAACAATCATACAGAGTATAAAAGAGTCACTCGATCACCTGATTCTCTTCTGTTGAGAAAAACAATGGAGGCCGGCAGCAACCGCCGTGTGCCGGCGTGGGAGAAGCGGTTCTGCTTGGTGGTGGGGAGGATGTGGTGGAGCGATTTCTTGCGCCGCAAGAAACACGTTGCTTGCCGGGGAAGCAGCAAGCGCGTCGACAGGGTCGTGCGGTGGGACGATTCGGCAGGGTACGAGTGCTCCCGGGACGCCAAGGCGCGTTTCTATGCGAAGAATTACTCCGGTCGTCGGTGCCGGGGGATTCCGCCGGCGGCGGCCCCGCTTGGGCCGGACCTGTACGTCGACGACGTCGTGTGGAGGGCCCCCGACGACGACGACTGGGAGCTGCGGCGGCTCGTGGCGGAAGCGGAGGAAGCGCAGGAGAGAGCGGCGGAATTAGCGGCGGCGAGGAGTGATTGTGTCCTTTGTTATTCGTGGGAGATCCCGCTGGAGGAGGTAAAGGCGACGGGGTGGGACGACGACGACGTCGTGGATTGTAGTTCGTGGCGGAATCCGAATTTGGCCGGGATGGTCGTCGGCGGCAGCAACGTTGATGGTTCAAACTTCAAAGGGGAAGAGAAGTTGTAGGGAAAGAGAAGTTTTGACAATAGTCATTTTCTTCTAAAAAAATGACTAACTAGATTATAAGTCTGTAGTAATCTATTCTCGTGATTGTATCAACATTGTTTTGTTTTTATAAAATGACTCTTTGGTGCTTTGTCTTTCTCGAGTAAATTACAGAATCGAAACAATTTTATTTTTAACGATAATTCCCCAACAAGTCGTACAAGAAGTTAAGAAATTTTGAATAGTTATTTGAATGATGACCTATATTTACATACCGTTAATGTTAAATATTGATATTGTCGGACACGAACTATCAATAGTCGTGAGAAACCATGAACCGGAATATAAGAGCTCATCCAACTCATGAGTTTGACTCGATCGGTGTCATTAGTAAAATTTATTAAATGACATTGAATATAATTCTGATTGGTGGTTCAATAAAAATTGAAAACCAAATTGTTGGATGAGTACCCTAGACATATGTGGGTAGGGCTGTTAATGAACCAAACCGCTCATCAACGACTCGGCGTCCGACTCGAGAAAAATTCGTTCGACACCCGATTCGTTTTAATTGAGCAGGCTCGCGAACAAGGTCGTTATCTAAACGAGCCGAGCTCGAGCCATACCATGTTCAGCTCGAAAGCTCGCGAACAAGCTCATTTAATGGTTTGACATAAAAAAAAAAGGATTAAAATTCGTAGATTTTATGTATTGAAATTGGGATAAATATTGTGTTTTACTTAGCTAGACTTTGCTACAAGTTTGAATGTAATTTTGTGCTAAGCTCTAGGTCAATCTTGACCTATCATGAACATTTTATTAGCTGAACTCGATTATGGGCTTGTTAAACTTATTTGACGATCGACTTGAGCTTTCATTTTCATAAACGAACCGAGCTCGAACTTGCATATTAAATCTCGTGACGAATACGAGCCGGGCCCGAAATATGGCAAATCTCGACTTGGTTCGGCTCATTAACAACCCTACGTGTGGGTTACTGGTTACATAATAAAATTTCATTGCGTACCGGACCGGTTGGGGGGATTTGGTTCACTTTGGCCCACCCCATGCAAGCAGCTCTTATTTACTGTGGTTTACCATTCGTACGACGTCGTTTCGGTTCCGAAGTAAACCCTACTCTTCCTTCCATTCCATGATCAGAAAACTCGATCCGAGACGATATATATTTAATTTGCCTTTCTCCTAGTCGGATTAGGAGTAGTGGAGACAGAGTTGAGAAAATTCCTTCTTATCAAAGTTTATATATATAGAATCGGGTCCTTTCTCCTCCGTCTCCGGCCGGCGTTATCTTTCCTTGATTCCATCTAGCTCTACCGCCGCGAGAACTAGATCGGTATCTTTTCCACAAAAACGACGACGAATGACGAATTCAGGATTAGCAAACCACCACCGGCTTCCTCCTCCCACGGCGATAAACAAACTCGGCGACGACCTCCTCGTAGAGATTCTGATCCGAGGACTCCGAAACCCTAGATCCGCCTGCTCCTCCAAACTCGTCTGCAAGCGGTGGAGCTCCCTCATATCCTCTCCTCGCTTCAACCGCCGCTTCGTTTCTCACGGCCGGGAAACGAACCGGCCGATGCCGGACGATCCGTTGGAGCTGCTGCGGATCCTCCGCGGCTTTCTCCCTCCCATGCCCGACGGAGTTCGAAACGCTCTGACAGTTTTGGACTGCAACAAGGACCTGGTTTTATGCGGGTTTCGGGACGATCTAGGTAAAGATTACGAGAAGAGCGAACGAAGCAGGTCGTACCTGGTCTGCAATCCGTTTACGAAACAGTGGATCGCTCTTCCTTTAGCACCTAGGAAGCCTCCTGCTGGCAGTTATCGGGACCAAGCGAGGTTAGTTTGTCAACCCCGTATTTCTCATAAGCTCGATTTGGGAGATGATGGCGGCGGTGGTCATGAAGCGACGACCGTTTATTTCGAGCATCGATTCCGTGTGGTGTGCACGTACGAAAAATCACGTTTCGTTGATTCGAAATTACACGTGTTTTGTTCGGAGTCGGGAAAATGGGGCAAGGAAACTCTTGCATGTTGTAATACTCTTGTCCTTGGTCCCCTAGTTTCTTGCAACGAGGAGTTGTTCTGGAAGTACTACGAATTACACGGTTCGTTGGGTTTTTCGGTGGCTAGGTTTAATCCTTTCCGTCTCGATATGCCTCCCACTTCTGTTAATCCTCCTCGTGCATTCCTCCACGCGAAAACCGACTGGTCTGTTTATGTCTCACAAGGTGCATTGCACATCGTGGCGGTTGAAAACAGAACCGTACCCGCGGTTCGTTTAAGCGTATGGAGACTTGAAGAAGACGGTCGATCTTGGAGGAAACAGTTTGAGGGATCGCTGAGCAAGACGTCGAAGTATCGGGACTATGATATCGTTGGGGGTTTTTGTCCGCTTGGTCTGCATCCAAACAACCCGGAAATCGCCTTCTTTCATTGCACCGCCGGCGAGAACAAGAATGCTGTATTGTGCTACGATTGGAGAAGGGAAGAATTGAAGGTCTTCTGTCATGCTCTCCGGGTGTTGCAGCCAAGAGTTTGTTGCTGGCCGGGGCCGATTCCGAGGTACAAGGAGCTGCAAGGCGTCTACGATGGAAGCTATAGCTTTTGGTTTCAGACTAAGAGAGCAAAAGCAAAAACTCCTCCGCTCCATCACCAATTTTTTTTTTTGTCAAATTTAGCGGTATCAATTCAGTCATAACAAGAAGAAAGTAAAGCGCGGAAGTCGACTAATCGCCGAACCCCCGATGAAAGGGCTTTAATTGCCACAAGATGGGCAGCCCTATTAAGTCGACGTGAGACAAAACAGTATGAAATCCAGTTAAGCTGAGACGCCAATGCCCTTGCATCTTCTAGAATTGCACCACTCCGCTCATGTGCCAAGTCATTCCTCGCCATCCGATGCATCAATTGTTGAGAATCACCATGAAATGTCACATGTAAGAAACCATGTGTTAAACACCAATGTAAAGCGTCTCGGAGGGCCAAGCATTCCATGACAAAGGGATCAGATAAACCAGCATATGATTTGCCAAATGTAAATAGGATCGTACCTGAGCCTTGGAAGCCAACGAAGCCTATACCGCCGCCTAGACCCCGTTTCGCCGCTCCATCAACCCAAACATTAATGGGGGTAGGAAGAATTGCAGTCCCTGTCGCTTCCGAATTCCCAAGGCCTGCTGGAGATAGTCGCGGGCCGCGAGTGCCCTGATTGCTTGTCGGTCTGGTCTGCTCCGCATCCCGCCATTCAGTCACTTGGTGTTGAAGTTGTCGATATAGCGCCGGGGGTAAGTACTGGGTTAGAGCATGGACTGACCAGCAGCGAGCCTTCCAAATGCGCCATAAGACAAAGACCACAAAAGCTATGTCACTTTTGGATAGGTTCCGACCGAAGAATAGATGCTTCCAAGCATCTCCCGGGGGCAACGCGCCAAGAGCAACTCGTAGTTCTTCACATTCAGCTAGCCGCCAAAGGTCTCTAGCAACCCTGCACTCAAAAAAGAAGTGGGTGAAGGACTCCGGTCACCAATTGGTAACGTAATTGCATGCTTTTCTTCATTCCCCGTTTTAACCTCCATGTGGGGATGCGGTTGGTGTACATGAAACTGTGGTACTGATGGAAAATTTTGGGAAAGGTTTATATTTTTGATTTTTTTTTAGGTTGAGTGGTATATTGGAAATTTTTTTTTTAGGTTTAATTTATTTGTATGTTGAGAAAGTATTGAGAAATAGCAGGACAACGCGTTTAGAAATTTTGAATAGTTGTTTGAATGATGAGTTATGTTTACATATTGTGTTGGTGCTAGTGTTGACATGCTAGACAAATTATATAACTGTGAGAAACCATAAACCAGAATATATAAGAGCTGATCACCAAACTCATGAGTTGACTCGGTCTCCCTCAACTACGTCAATCATTTCGATTAGTAAAATGTTGGTGATATGTCATTATTTAATGTCTTTATCGACTTTTAAATGTCATTATTTAATGTTGGTGATATGAAATGATACGAAATATTTTTATTATATTGGATTACTTATGTAATAATATAAAATATTTTCAAGTCAAGTTTATTAATGTATTGAGAAAGTATATTATCGGTTTTATTACCGTTATCAACGTTTATGAGGCTATTATCAGCATTGTGCACCATCATTATTAACATTTTGAAAATAATTATCTATGCTTAATTTGATATTATCAATACGCATAATAACATTTTTATATTTCCACGCAGGGTTTATTAAATTATTTAAAAAGCATATTATTGATACTTTTATTGTTGCCAAGGATTTGCACTACTAAAGTTTATTGATATTGTACTCAAAATAATTATTATAGGTTTTCATCTATTCACTTAGACAATATCAAAGTTTTTACTATTTCACATCATGTTTTCGTCATGAAAAGCAATATTTTTTTTATAACGACTAGCGATTACATTAAAGATGTATGTAAAACAATTGATAACGACTTTTCGCATTATTATTAACATTTTGTGAGGTATTAGTAATGATATACAACATTATTCTCGTCCTGAAAATCATTAATTTTTACAGTGACTCGTAACGTTTCTTTGAGGTATTCTCAACATTTTTGGATAAATTTTTATCCATTTATCATATCGTTATCAACTCCTAATAATAATGCGCAGTACCATTACTAATCATCCCTATCACGTTAATTACACTACTAATAATGATACAGTGATAGATATTAACAATATTTTTAACAATATTATTATCATTTTATTTACATCACAGAATTGTAGTTCGATATAAATCGAAAACCAAAATTGTTGGGTAAGTATCCTAGACACGTGTGGGTTACTGGTTACATAATAAATTTTCATTGCGTACCGGACTGGTTGGGAGCATGGTAAAGGAAACCGTACCGGAAGTCATATCGGACTCGTCAATGGTAGGGTATTTTGTGGTACAACCGTGATTCAACCGTTGTGTACCGGTAAAATACCGTTTTTGTAATTAAAAATAATTTTTTTATTAAAAAACCGTACCGTTAAATTGAGTATATTGTTCGAAATATTACCGGCATAAAATCGGAATATACCGGATAAAAAACCCGAATAAACTAAATAGGGATAGGTAATATAACAATCAACAAACCACAACATTACTGAATAAACTACATAATCGTTCAAATGCAAGTTTAGAATCGAGTACAAAACATACCAATATCTATCGAGCCAGAACACAAGTGGAGATCCCGATCGAGCACTAAAATAACAGAAACACGCAAAACAATATCACTGATAGTGATGCTTAGCTTATCAATTTCATGGCCTTAATTAGTTTGCTTGATTGATTGATTGGCTCTCTTAATTAGTTAACCAATTGCTCCAAGAAAGCAGCTCCAAGATCTTCGAACTCCACCACTTCTTCTTCTTCCTCCTTATGATTCTGGCGACCCTTTTCAACTGTCACTCCCTTGCTCTGCGGGGTGAGCGCCTTGGCGGGGAACATGTGCTCCTCAAATACGCTGCAACCTCTCTCCCGGAGGGACCTGCTGACGCCATCGATGGGGAAGTTGAGGACGGCCTTGGAGTCCTGGAGGGACAGCGCCGCCTGGTCGTACGCCAGCGCCGCCGCATCCGAGGTGTCGAATGTCCCCAGCCACACCCTCACGCCGCGCCGGGTAGAATCGCTTATCTCCGCCGCGTACTTCCCCCACGGTCGCCGGCGTACAGATACGACAAAGTACTAAAGAAGAGGGTGACTCAGAGCGGCGGCAGGCTCGTCCTCTGTCCTTCTCACCGATCGTCAGAGGCAAGGCTGGGCTGGAGAACGATCGATCGGAGGCGTCGTTCTCTTCTTCTCGAGCAGGCAGCAGGCGGCGTTGTGGAGAAGAGGAGGAGCGGCAGGTGAAGTGAAACTTCGGGGGAAGATTCTATTAGGGTTAGGGACTTAGTGACACTCGTTTTTTCCACTCAATTTTGTCAATGGAACGGCGGTGACGCGACATTACTTTGAATTAGTCTATCGCCGGTCTGAATTATACCGGGCGGTAAATCGGATAGTGCCGATTATGCCGTAAAAACCGGCCGGCTCGGTAAAACAGATGCTGGATGGGTGCCGTTTCGTCACTGGGCCGGTTCCCGGTTTTCCGGTTGAACCGTTCGGTACGATCCGGTTTCCTTTTCCATGGTTGGGAGGAGTTCTGCAACAAGGGGATTTGGTTCACTTGGGCTCGGCCCATGTCACTTCCCCACCCACGGCCCACCCCATGCAAGCAGTTCTTATTTACTGTCGATCAGCACGGGTACGACGTCGTTTCAGTTCCGAAGTAAACCCTACTCTTGCCTTTTTCCTAGTCGAATTAGGAGTACTGGAGATAGAGTCGAGACTCGAGACAATTTCTTCTGATCAAGGTTTATATCTCTTTACTTGAATCCATCTAGCTCTACTGCCATGGCGAGCGAGAACTAGTGCGACTCGGATCGGGATCTTTCCGGAAAACGACGGCGAATGATGAGTTCAGCATTAGCAAACCACCACCGGCTTCCTCCCACGGCGATAAACAAACTCGGCGACGACCTCCTGGTAGAGATTCTGATCCGAGGCCTCCGAAACCCTAGATCCGCCTGCTCCTCCAAACTCGTCTGCAAGCGGTGGAGCTCCCTCATCTCCTCTCCTCGCTTCAACCGCCGTTTCGTTTCTCACGGCCGGGACACGAACTGTCCGATGCCGGACGATCCGTTGGAGCTGCTACGGATCCTCCGCGGCTTTCTCCCTCCCACCATGCCTGATGGAGTTGGAAACGCTCTGAGAGTTTTGGACTGCAACAAGGACTTGGTTTTATGCGGGTTTTGGGATCTAGGTAAAGATTACGAGAAGAGCGAACGAAGCAGGTCGTATCTGGTCTGCAATCCGTTTACGAAGCAGTGGATCGCTCTTCCTTTAGCACCACCTAGGAAGCCTTCTGCTGGCAGTTATCGGGACCAAGCGATGTTAGTTTGTGAACCCCGTATTTCTCATAAGCTCGATTTGGGAGATGGCGGCGGCGGTGGCGATGATGACGAAGGGGCCGTTTATTTCGAGTATCGATTCCGTGTGGTGTGCACGTACGCAGAATCGTTTTTCGTCGATTCGAAATTACACGTGTTTTGTTCGGAGTCGGGAAAATGGGGCAAGGAAACTCTTGCTTGTTGTAATAGACTTGTGCTTGGTCCCCTAGTTTCTTGCAACGAGGAGTTGTTTTGGAAGTATTGCGAATTGGGTTTTTCGGTGGCTAGGTTTAATCCTTTCCGTCCCGATATGCCTCCCGCTTCTGTTGATCCTCCTCGTGCATTCCTCCACGTGAAAACCGACTGGTCTGTTTATGTCTCACAAGGTGCTTTGCACATCGTGGCAGTGGAAAACAGAACCGTGCCCGTTCGTTTGAGCGTATGGAGACTCGAAGGAGACGGTCGATCTTGGAGGGAACAGTTTGAGGGATCGCTGAGCGAGACATCGAAGTATCGCGACTATGATATCGTTGGGGGCTTTTGTCCGCTTGGTCTGCATCCACAAAACCCGGAGATCGCCTTCTTTCATTGCACCGTCGGCGAGAACAAGAAGAATGCTGTATTGTGCTACGATTGGAGGAGGGAAGAATTGGAGGTCTTCTGTCATGCTCTCCGGGTGTTGCAGCCAAGAGTTTGTTGCTGGCAGGCGCCGATTCCAAGGTACAAGGAGCTGCAA